ATAATTGATAATTTGAAATAAGAAAAGGTCCAAGGGTTTGGGGATGGTGGAGGGGAAAGGGAAGAAGGGAAAGAAAAAAATTATGAGAAAAAAATGGAATCAAACTCTGTGTAGACAAAGATTCAGATATAATTTAAACTTTAGGAATTCCAATATAACTGGGTTTCCTCTACCAGGAACACCTGAAATTCACAAACCTTGACTAGTTTACAGGTGAACTCATGATACATCTCATACAATAAAAAAATTCCAGAAAACAAACAAAAAAAAGAAATGTAAGTTTCATGTTGATTTGAAACGGTTCAAAATATTTTTGGAATAGCACTCTTTAACTTGCTAGTTACAGAATTATTTTTATACTTCACAACTAAAATGAAGAACATGCTGTATAAAGAAAATTCCAATGTAATCTTAATATTTAAAGACAGAGCTGGCTAAAAGCCCCAACAGTACCCATGTCATCACCTGAACATAAGACTGCCTTGAAATTTACCCTGCCAGATTAATTAGTCCACTGCTCTTAATCTCAGGCACCCTCAAAGCCTCAAACCAGGAGCCAAATATAGATCAATTACCTTCCAGAGCATAGCACACATGGCCTAGCATCCAACTGCCAATGAAGTCCCTGTTCCCAAATCAAACTTCCTGAGCCTGGTCTTTTCTATCTGCTTTTTTTATCAGCATCCTGGTTTTCTGAGCCCTGTCTAGAATTTCCCATCAAGCTCTACTTATAGCATTCTAGGGCTGCTTCTCTAGTTAGCATCTTCTAAACTTACCAAATCCCTCCTGCAAACCAGTTCCCAAGGCTTCTACAAGGTCAGGTAGTGGCACAGCAATGACCTCACTTCTGGTACCAAAATCTGTCTTGGTTACTTTCCTCGTTGCTCAGACACAATACCTGACAACCACTAAAGGAGGAAAGGTTTATTTTGGCTCACAGTTTATAGATGTCTCAGTACATAGTTGGCTTGCTCCAAGACAAGGGCAGACAGGGCATGGCAGAGGAGGCTTGCTCATGGCTTGGCAGTCAGGAAGCAAAGGGAAATAAAGGGAGAAGGGAGGGAGACAGACCCTTCCAGGTCATGGCCCCAGTGACCCACCTTCCTTCCTCAACTTCAACATCACATTTAGCTATAAACTCATCAGTGAACTAATCCATTGTTGAGTATCATGGCCCCAAGATTCAATTACTTCCCAAAAGCCCCACCTGTGAGCACATGAGGTTTGGGGCAGACATCTAGATATAAACCATAATAACTTGTCTCATAGCACATTGAGGAATAAGGAATTAAAAGAGATAATATATAATTTAAAACAACTGCAACAAATATAAGTTAATTTTATTTTTAATCACTATTACTGAGTAACAAATTAAACTGGGATTAAGTACCTTGATCTTTGTATCATATTCTTCCTGCCTTTGCATTATATTCCTTCTAAAAGGTGCAGTATAGCCTATTTGCTGAAAAACATTTATACTGTTCAATGGTCCTTGGAGCTAGTAAAGATTGGATGACAGGATTTTTAAAGTTTAAAAATGTTAATCTTATTAATTTTGATTAGAATCCTCATGTAAATTATCTTCCAGTTAGAGCTTAAAGCATGTACTTACCTCAAGTAGTTTAATAAAGAATTTGCCACACCTTATCTTTTTCAAACTCCAAAATAGGAATTAAACATCTTAGGAAACTCTTGGTTCCTACTAGTACACAGATATTGCGGATAAACAGCTCATGAATTTTGTGTACAAAGTCTGACCCTAAAAATTAAAATAACAATTATAACAGCCAATAAATTATCTTATTTTTGGTTTGCTCAGGACATTTCATACATCTGATCCCAGAGGATTTAGAGAGGATAGTTCTGGAACTGCTCTTTGGGTGGGTTAAATGATATATGCAACACACAAAGCAAGTCAGGATCAAAATCCTGGCCTTAGGATTCTGAGGGTTCAGTGTTTGGTAAAAACAGGCTGTGCAATTTTTATGAATGATATATGCATCCATGAGGAGGCCCGCTGGGCCACCCGACCATGTTGTGGGTTGCACCTATAGGGCAGAGGTGCCAGGGGCCATAAAGGCCACTGTTACGAGTTCAAGAAGGTAGAGGAGAGGCGAACAGCAGAGAGCCTGAGACTTGATGAAAACTGAAGCCCAATGGGAGAGAGAAGAAAGTCTGTGGACCACAGCAGTTGGTGAGTTGGTAGGTTCAGCACTCCCTACAGGAATCCGGACTCATTTCAGGGAAAGGGCAGCTTGAACCTGTGTAAAATCTTGGGAGTTCAAACCCCTAGGAGGTCAGGGAGCTCAGCTCGGGCCTTGCAGACAGAAACCAGCTTGAATCTCTGTGGACTAAGGCTGGCTTGCTGAGACTAATCGAATTTGATCTGCATGCTGCTGCCCATGTTGTGTACCAGTGACAGCAGAGACACGCCCTGAAAGCGGCCCCCCTTTTCCTTCTTTCTTCTCTCTTCTTTCCTCCTCCTCCTCCTCTCTCCTTTCTTCTTCCTGTTTCTGCCCTATTTTGGGTTTTTTGTTTCCTTTTTTTATTTCCTTTTCTCAATCATTCTTATTTTTATAGGAGAGTGAATAATTTCTAGTTTTCCTGTTGCTGTTATGTTGCTCTGTTCTTGTTTTTATTCCTTCCTTCTCTTTTCCTCCTGTCTTTACCAGTTTCCTGAAGTTTGCATGATCTTCCTGTGTCCTCTAAGCCACATTTCTAACCTTTCCCTCTTTTTCTATCTCTCTTTCCCTTCTCACAGCTCCTTCTAAGTCTTCATCCCAGAGGGTAAATTCGATATATTGAAAGGTTTATTTACTGCAAACATATTTCTGCTTGATCCTTGATTTTAATCTAGTTCATGTGGTTAAAGGTGACAGATTAATAGTTACAACAGCTTATTATTTTCTAAGCTGTGTTTGATGCTATGGTTGATGCTGCTTGTATTACTTGGATCAAGGTGATGTGATTATTCTAATCAGTTGTCCTTCCTGGTATACCAAAACTGGGATTGCCTAAGGGTCATTACAGGCTCAAAACCTAAAGACCAAGTATTAATGGATATGAAAAGCCAAATAAGCACTAAAACAATAGTACTGGGGGAACCTCAATACCCCACTGTCACAAATACATAGATCAACTAGACAAAAAATCAAAAACAAAATACTAGAATTGAACCAAATTTTAGAACAAATGGATATAATAGATGTCTACAATGTGTTCCACCCCATAAAATCAGAATACACATTCTTCTCAGATGCACACGGGTAACTCTCCAAAACAGGCCACATACTAGCTCACAGAACATGCTTAAGTAAATGCAAAGGATTGAAGTTATTCCCTGTATAGTCAGACCACAGTGCAAGGAAATTGGAGATCAGTAGCATAAGAAACCGCAAAACCCCCACAAACACATGGAAATTGAATAACACTCCAGAACAACCAATGGGTCACAGAGGAAATTAGAGAAGAAATTAGACAGTTTCTACAATTAAATGTTAATGCTAATACAACATACTGGAATTTATGGGACACAATGAAAGCAGTCTTACGAGGGAAATTCACAGCAGTGAATACTCTTATTAGGAAAACAGAGCAAGCTCAAATAACCTAATGCTGAACCTCAAGCTTCCAGAAAAAGAAGAGCAAGACAGCTTTAGAGCTTGTACAAGGGAGGAAATTACAAAGATCAGACCAGAAATCAATGCAATGGAGACTAAGAGAATGAAACAAAAAAATCAATGAAGAGTTGGTTCTTCAAAAAAGTAAAATTGACGAACCCTTAGCCAACTTTATCAAAAAAAGAAAGAAAAGGCTCAAATCCATGCAATTATGAAGGAAAAGGTTGAAATTACAACAGATCCAGCAGAAATCCAGAGGATCATCAATACTTACTTTGAGAACCTGTAACCAGTAAGACGGAAAATATAGAAGAAATGGACAGATTCCTAGATACATATGAATTACCAAAGCTGAACCAAGAAAATATAAAAATTCTAAACAACTCAATATCAATCAATGAAATTGAAAATGTAATTAAAAACTTAGCAACAAAGAAAAGCCCAGATCCTGATGGCTTTACTGCTGAATTCTACAAGAAATTTAGGGAAGAGCTAATCCCAATACTCCTCAAACTCTTTAAAAATTCAAAAGGAAGTAATACGCTCAAATTCATTCCTGAAAGCAAGCATTATCTTGATTTTTGAAAGCAGAGAAAGATCTAACAGAAAAAGAGAACTGTAGGCCAATTTCCCTAATGAACACAGATGCAAAACTCCTCAATAAGATACTAGCAAACAGAATACAAAGGATCATCAAGAAGATCATACTCCCTGACCAAGTTGGATTCGTCCCAGGGATACAAGGACGGTTCAACATATGTAAATCAATAAATGTAATACACTACATTAACAGAGTTAAGGACAAAAACCACATGAGCATCTTGATAGATGCAGAAAAAGCATTTGACAAAATCCAGCAAAAATTCATGATAAAAAAACATACAGAAAATTGGAATAGGGGGACTTTATCTCAACCTGATAAAAGCCATCTATAAAAAACCAACAGCCAACATCATATTAAAAGGTTAAAAACTGAAATTTTTCACACTAAAATCAGAAACAAGACAAGGATGTCCACTATCACTACTTCTATTCAATGTAGTTCTGGATACATTAGCCACAGCAAGTAGACAAGATAAAGGAATAAAATGAATAAAGACAGGAAATGAAGAAGTTAAACTGTCATTATTTGCTGACAATATGATACTTTCTATACAAGAACCCCAAAACTCTGCCAAAAGACTTCTTGATTTAATAACCAGATTCAGTAGAGTAACTGGATACAAGGTCAACACTCTAAAATCAATAGCCTTCTTGTACATGAACAACAGACTCATTGAAAGAGAAACTGGGGAAATAATTTCTTTCACAGTAGCATCCAAAAAAATGAAATGTCTAGAAATCAATCTAACAAAGAAAGTAAAAGACCTGTACTTTGAAAACTACAATATTCTGAAAAAAGAGATTGAAGAGGATATTAGAAAAAGGAAAGACATCCTTTGTTCCTGGGTAGGAAGAACCAATACAATGAAAATGGCCATGCTTCCAAAACTGCTATATAGATTCAATGCAATCCCGATTGAAATTCCAACAGCGTAATTCACAGAACTTGAGAAAAAATCCAAAAATTCATTTGGAACAAGAAGATACCTAGAATAGCAAAAGCAATCCTAGGCAACAGAGACATAGCAGGGGATATCACAACCCCCAACTTGAAACAATACTACAAAGCCACTGTGATAAAAACAGCATGGTACTGGCAAAGAAACAGACCTGAAGATCAATGGAACAGAATAGAAGATGCAGAAACAACTCCAGACATACTCCACTACCTCATCTTCGACAAAGGAGGGAGCCAAACACCCTCATTGGAAGAAAGATAGCCTCTTTAATAAATGGTGCTGGAAAAACTGGGTTTCATCTTGCCAAAGATTAAAATTAGACCCATATCTTTCACCATGTACTAAACTAAAATCAAAATGGATTAAATATCTAAATATTAAAACAGAAACACTAAACTTGCTGGAAGAGAGATTAGGTAGAACTCTTGAAGATAATGGTGTAGGAAAATATTTTATGAACAAAATCTCAGTCACATATGAACTAGCACAAAGAATCCATATATGGGATCTCATTTTATTAAAAAGTTTCTTCAAAGAAAAAGAAAGAACCAATAGAGTGAAGAGACAACCTACAATGTGGAAAAAAATTTTTACCAGCTGTTCCTCAGACAGAGGTCTACTATCTTGAATATACAAAGAATTTAAAAAAATCAATCTCCCGAAATTTAAAGACCCAATCCAAAATGGGCTTCTGAAATAAACAGATATTTCTCAGACAAAGAAGTAGAAACAGCAAATAAACATAGGAAAAAATGTTCAACATCACTGGTCATTTGAGAGATACAAATGAAAACAACATTGCGATTCCATCTCACTCCAGAAAGAAGGGCTGCTGTCAAGGAATCAACCAACAATAAAAGTTAGCGGGGCCATGGGGAAAAAGGAGACCTTCTCCACTGTTGGTGGGCATGTAGATTGGTGCAACCACTATGGAAATCAGTGTGGAGATTCCTGAAAGAACTAAGATTAGAGGTCCCATTTGACCCAGGTATTCCCCTGCTGAGTATCTTAGCAAAAGAATTAAAAGCATCATAGCACAGTGCTATATGCACACATGTGTATAAGCGGCACAGTTTATAATAGCTAAATCGTGGAAACAGCCCAAATGTCCATCAGCTGGTGACTGGATAAAGAAGATGTGATTTTTTAAAATAAAATGGAGAACTACTCAGCCATAAAGAATGAGAAACTAGAGACATTTATAGCTAAATGGATGGACCTGGAGGCCATACTCTTAAATGAAAAAAATAGGACACACGTGTAAATACTGTGTAGTTTCTCTGGTGTGAGAGGGTGAAAGTAAATCAATAATGTATAATAGATAATGTAAAATAGGAAGAAAAGGTCCAAAAGGGAAGGGGAAGTAGGGAGGAGAGGGGGAAGAAAGAAGGGAAGGAAAAAATATGAGAAAGGAAGGAAAAATTGGAAACAAAAGTTTTTGTAAATTGGGAGGTGTACAGGGGTGGAGGGGTAGGAAGGGGGATGGAGAAAAAACAAGAACCAAGCTATATATCATGTACAGGTACAAATTCCCAATGATGAATTTGATCATAATGTATACCTAAAAGTTACCAATAAACTTAATGGAAAAAAAAAAGATATATGCTTTCATATCAAGTTACTTACTTCAGTACTATCCTGAATAGAAGAGCTGTTGTTATAATGCTAAAATTTGAGAAGATAACAGCCATGGCCTAGAAAGAAAGAGAAGACAAAGTTACAATTCAAACAATGTACTGACTTCAGAAATCTCCCAGCCTGCTAGTTCATCCAACAGAAAAGCTTTTTAGTCAAAACCAGAGGGGTTATTAGGGCAGCTATTTCACAAGAGTATCAAATTCCATTTTTTATTGCTTGTTAAATTTATACAGATATGATCATATAATTGTGCAGGGTTTGCAACTATGCTCTTAAATTCGAGCATCACCTGTATAAATACACTTTATGTTTAAATGTGGAAATACTTATAAATTCTAAAGGTTGAGATCTAGAAATAACAGTTACTGAGCTTATAAAGCAACTTTTCAAGCTCTGAAACTCTTTCACAGACATTTAATACTACTTTTATGGCAAACAAGGGCAGTATTGTTTTGTATCAGAAGAAAACTTAGGCAGATTTTTAAGCATATTTACTGTCCTAAAAGTTGAATCAATTTTCCCCTTGAAATGACATAACTCAAAACTAAAATTATATTTGACAGGTCTTTGGGTTGATTCAATTTATTCTAAACCCTTAGAATTGTGCTAGCCATATTTTACAGTGTTTTATTTTTGTGAATTTAGTTGTATTTCATTAATCCGAACATGTGCACATTTTTCTCAGAAAGTATAAAATTTTATCACTGCTCCCCATAATTGGACCTGGCAATATAAATAATTCTTAGCATAAATTCTTCCTACCTCCTTGCTAATGCTTCAAGTTGATTAAACTCCAAAGAGTATTAAGTCTTATAACAGCAAACATGGCTAATTTGTAAAGAAAAGTACCATAAAAACTAACAATATTTCCAATAATGTAAAATTGTTGCTTCTCTATTGAAATTTTTATAAATTGAAAATTTTTAATTGACATGATTGTACATTGTTACAGGATATAAAGTGTAATAATTTGATAGATATGTAGTGTATAATCAGTTCAAAGTAATTAGCATTTCTATTTTCTTAAATATTCATCATTTCTTCATTTTGAGAGACTCTGAATTGTTTTCTTTCTTTCTTTTTTTTGGGTATGGTATGGAACTTAGGACCTTGCACTTGCAAGGCAGGTGCGGCGCCACTGAGCTAAATCCCTGGCCCTTTCAATTGTTTTCTGTGTACTTCTCTGCAAGACCAATGCATGTAAAAACCCAGTTAAGAGACGAGTAGGAAAAAATTGAGGAAAGTGGCTAATGAGAGTAGGGAAGTAGTGACTCGGAATAACATTAAGGGCAGTGCAAATACACCTAGCCTGGCTAGCTTGATGAATTCCTTTTTTTCCTTTTTTCCTTAAATTCTTCTATTGGTACATTTTAGGTAAACAATACATTTACATTTATCATTGGGTGCCTGTACCTGTACATGATGTATCTTGGTTCTTATTTTTTCCCCATTACCTGTGCGCCCTCCACTCCCTCCACCCTTGCCTATTTACATAGATTTTGTTTCCATTTTCTTTCTTTTCTCATAATTTTTCCTTTCCCTCCTTTACTTTCCCTTTCGCCTCCCACCACCCCTACCCCTTTGGACCTCTTCTTCCTATTTCAAATTATCAATTATTTGTTTTATTCATTTTAATTCTTATTTACACTTTCAGTTTCTCACACTAGAGAAACTATTAGGTATTTACACATGTGTGTCCTATTTATTTCACTTAAGAGTAGGGCCTCAATATGCATCCATTTAGCTATAAATCTCTAGTTTCTCATTCTTTATGGCTGAGTAGTACTCTGTTGTACTAAAAAACCCACATCTTCTTTATCCAGTTTCCAGGTGATGGGCACTTGGGCTGTTTCCAAGCTTTAGCGTGCTGCTATAAACATGGGTGCACATATATTGCTGTGGTATGATTAATTCTTTTGGGAAGATCTCCAGCAGGGGAATAGCTGGGTCAAATGGGACCTAGTTCTTTGAGGTATCTCCATATTGATTTCCACAGTGGTTGCACCGGTCTACACTCCCACCAACAATGGAGAATAGTTCTTCTCCCCAGACCCCCACCAGCATTTGTTATTGGTTGATTTCTTGATAGCAGGCACTCTTTCTGGGGTGAGGTGGAATCTCAGTGTTGTTTACATCTGCATCTCTCAAATGACCAGTGATGTTGAACATTTTTCATATATTTGCTGCTTTTAATTATTTGTCTGAGAAATGTCTGTTCATTTCAGATGTCCATTTTTGAATTGGGTCTTTGAATTTGGAGGTCTGATTTTTTTCAGTTCTTTATATATTCCAGATAGTAGTCCTTTGTCTAAGGTACAGCTGCTAAAATTTTTTTCCCACATTGTATGTTGTCTCTTAGGTCTATTGGTGGTTTCTCTTGCAGTGCAGAAGCTTTTTAATAAGATGAGATCCCAGTGGTTGATTCGTTGTGCGAATTCCCATGCTACTGAGGTTTTGTTCATAAAGTCTTTTCTTATGTCAATGTCTTCAAGAGTTCTAACTAACTTATCTTCCAGCAAGTTTAGTGTTTCTGTCTTAATATTAAGATCTTTAACCCACTTTGATCTTAGTTTAGTGCATGGTGATAGGTATGGGTCTAGTTTTGATCTTTGGCAGGTTGAAATCCAGTTTTTCCAACACCATTTATTAAAGAGGCTATCTTTCCTCCAATGAGGGTGGTTGGCTCCTTTGTCAAAGACAACGTGGCTGAGTATGTCTGGAGTTGTTTCTGCATCTTCTAATCTATTCCACTGATCCTCAGGTCTGTTTCTTTGCCAGTACCATGCTGTTTTTATCACAGTAGTTTTGTAGTATAGTTTCAAGTTGGGGATTGTGATACCCCCAGCCATGTCTCTGTTGCCTAGAACTGCTTTTGCTATTCTAGGTCTCATCTGAGTCCAAATAAATTTTTGGATTGTTTTCTCTAGTTCTGTGAAGTATATTGCTGGAATTTCAATCGGCATCACATTACATCTATATAGTAGTTTTGGAAGTATGGCCATTTTCACTATATTGGTTCTTCCTACCCAGGTACAAGAGATGTCTTTCCATTTTCTTATATCCTCCTCGATCTCCTTTTTTAGAGTGCTGTAGTTTTCAGTGTAGAGGTCTTTTGCTTCCTTGAGATTGATTCCTAGATATTTCATTTTTTGGATGCTATTATAAAAGGAATTGTTTCCCTAATTTCTCTTTCATTGAGTCTGTTATTTGTGTATAAGAAGGCTATTGTTTTTTGAGTGTTGACCTTATTTCCAGCTACTCTACTAAACTGTTAATTAAGTCTAGAAGTCTTTTGCCAGAGTTGTTTGGGTCTTCTATGTAAAGTATCATATCATCTAGCTTGATGAATTCTGCAAACTCTTTCCATGTAACATTATGAATAAATCAAACATCCAAGCTCTTTGTCCCCAAATTACCATGCATCTCTAATTCTTTAAATGGACTAAAAATAGAAGTATATAGAACCTGCCACGTATTTTGTAGCATCTGTGGTTATACAGAATCAGGAAGGAAGAGCTAAGCAATAAATACAAAAGAAAAACAAGGAAACTGCAATTCTGTTTTGGTACTGGGGTTGTGGGAAAGGGGTATAAATATAAAGGTAATCTGCTGGATACAAAAAAATACAACAGAAGATACGCCATGTACAAGGTCCTAATAACCTCAATGAGTGTGAACGTTGTATGTCATAAACATGAACTAAGATTAACAATATCAACAAGAAGAGGGGGAAAGGGGAACTAGAAGAGGGAGGGAGAGGGAGGGAATAAAAAAAGGAACAAGCTGTATTATGTACATCTACCAACTCCTCAAGATGACTGCAAAATGCACATACTTCAAAGATGTCTTAATAAAATTTAAAAATTCAACATTTACTTTTTAAATATGAATAACTATGTTCAATGGATATGAAAATTTTCAAGTTTAAAAAACAAAGTGGAAACAAGAATTTAAGAGAGGACACACTCTAAATGGGCTAAGCACTTAACTGGCAATGTGGATCATATGGCTAGAAGGAACTTCAGGTGATCAAGAGGTCCAAGTCCTGACTTGCACCTATATTATTATTATTGTTATTGTTATTATTATTATTCAGATAGGGTATCTGAAACTTACATCAGTTGGAATCGGTCTAGTTACAAAGGTTCTAAATTGTGGAAAAGTGTCAAACTCCTGTTTCCTATAGTAGCCCCTTTATCTTCTTCTAAAAGTGATTTGGTTATACTTAAGGAGTTTCACATAGAGGATTGGTCACAATGAAAATCCTTTTTATAATCAAAATGCTTAATTTTACCTTTTAAAGAAACTTAGAATGCATTCTGGTAATAAAGATACTAAAAATCTTCATTTTATAAAATATAAGGAAATATTCATGTGACCCAAACTGAGTAATAGTGAAAAAAGAACTCCAATTCTGATTACTAATGCTTCCCAAACTGACTCAAAAGATTTAGAGACAGATAAGATTATCAGTGATAGATGACTTTTATAATTGGGAGGATGCAATCCTACTCTCAAAGAAATTGCTGGTTAAATGGTAAGATTAAAAGAAAACCATACAAATAAAAAGCATAAACTACATTAACAGTTGTAAGAAAGAGGTATACTCAATGGATAATTTTTTGAGTTAATCATAGAAGTCTGCTTGGGGCCTTAACTGCTGAGATTGCGTAGAGGTTGGTCATAGGATGACTCAGAAAACAGGAAACCTGATTGAGGTTACACACAGAGGGTTGGCTTCAGATTCCTCACCCAGAGGGCAACTCCCACACAGCAGAGTGTACTACCAGTAAATTTTAACATTGAGAGGATCTAGCAAGTGGATCAGTAATTCAGAAATTCAGGTAATTCTGGGAAAATTTTAGCAAGGCCAGTGAGGGCAAAAAAAAAAAATAAAGCCCAGAAAAATAATAAAAAAGACCGGAGCTTTTTTCTGGGACTCATTTCTCTGTATCTTTTCAGTGGCATTTCTGGCATATTTACTTACAGGCTGAAGGTAGGATAGGACATAGAAGACAATCAAGTTATCCAGGAAATAAAGGAAGGCAGGAATGGACCACTTCATGAAATTAGACAATTCCTTCCAGGAAGCACATCTCAAATTTCTACTTTGATGATCTTCTAAAGAAAGACATTTAGGAATGAATAAATAATCTTGATGAGAATGCTTATATTTTTAGAGAAAATATATTACATTTGATTACAGATAACAATCCTTTAAAAGATGTTTTATAAATTTGCCTTCCAGCCTAAAACAACAGAAGATTATTATTCTGTCTCTAAACCACTTTTGTGTCCTATCACTAACAATCAGCAACATCCTTACGAATACTGATCATCCTAATGCCTGTTAATTTAAGGCAGTAGAAGTATCATTTAAGGTGACTCAGGATATACATGCAGTTTCTCCTATTACTCTTGAGAGCATCAGAGCCGAGGGAGATCAATATGTTAGAATAAATAGAAAAAAATATTAAGTCTTTATGCTGCTGTTCCCTCCCAAAAACATCAGCAAAGGAAATAATGAATGGAAATGTGTATATATGGAACTAGAGACAATAAACTCTTACTAATCCTAGCATAAGTTATTATCTCAGCTCTAGATTTTTAAAGGCTTAGAAAGGCATATTGTAATAAAGAGAATATAAAATGAAAGCATACCAAAGACAGGTTAAGTTTAAGCCCTGCAAGTAATGCAAGTTTCATGAAATTAAGAAATGTATTCCTTACCTAGAAACTCTACACAGATTGAAATCTATTCCATTAACAGAAACTCTGCACAGATTGTGATACTCTGTTGAGTATGAAAACACGTTTTTTTAGGTAAGCACCTTAATGCTTTAAATTCTATGCTTACCTCATATAAGACAAAGAGGTAGTGAGCTAAGGGCTCATAATGAGGAACTGAGGTGGAGAAGTAATAATCATATGGGCCTATATGTTCCATAAAAAAGCTAGTACTGTATATCTGAGGAAGGGATTAGTATCCCTATTTAATAGTTCTCCCTCAGAACACAATCTCTTTGACTATAGTACAGTATACTGCATTCCATGTGGGAAATGGGAATTGTTTTCCATTTCAAATCAAACAGCAAAGTTATTTAGAAAATCGTAAATTTGAATTAAAATTAACTTGCTGTGTGAAACCATTACAGAAAATAAGTGATGAGGCAGAATGAAGAGCAGGACATTGGGAAACATGGGATGATTTCCTAGCTTCATCCCTTCCAACACAGCTCTATATATCAATTTCTCTGAGCCTGTTTCTTCGCCTTTTAAAACATACTTATGCCTGTATCTTAGGTTCTTCATTTATAAAATTAATCAACTAGACTAAATGAAGTAAAATGTTCCTCGCATTTCTCATGTTTTCGGATTCTGTAATCTTTAGTAGGTATATGGTACCATTTCGAGACTTACCTTTCTTTATAACACAGAATGACACAAGCACACACAAAATGAGCTTCACCAGTTCTGAGCATATATTCACAGTAGTCGGAAGATAATCATATTTGTTCTCTGAAATGTAAGAGAAATGTCGTTTTAACTTTTTCATTCTGTATGATCACAATATGGCTAATAATTTATAATCGTTTTGAACCTTAAAAGTTGGGTATGATGGTGCATGCCTGTAAACCCAGCACTCTAGGATGCCGAGGCAGGAATATGCAAGTTTAAGCCCAGCATGGGCAACTTAATAATCTGGTGAAACTCTGTTTCAAAATAAAAAACTGAGAAAAGGTGTAGGGATGTAGCTCAGTGTGAAGGCCTTGGATTTAATCTACAGTACCTCATCATACACACACACACACACACACACACACACACACACACACCCCATGCTGGATTTATCTCAGCACTCAGGAGGCTGTGTAGGAAGATTGTGAGTTCAAGGCCAACCTGGTACAGTCAGACACTGTCTCAAAAAAAAAAAAAATTAAAAAAAGGTTATATTAAATTTCTTCCAGTTGGCTTTGCTCTTTTGAATTTCTGAATCATTTCATCTAATGTATTCCATTTAGTTTTTTATTAACCTTGAGTTTGGTAAACATGCCTCGTTTTCAACCATGTTACTAATAAATCTGTTGAAGACCAAGGTCAAAGAAGGTCTGCAGCAAGGCATTAGAGATTGTCTTCTAAACTGACCATTAATCAACATTCAGCTTTGAGTCATCAAACAGTTATGAATATTATCTGAATTATTACTTTATGATTCTTCTGAAATGTATGCCTTGCTAAAATCAAGGTACACTTTATAATATTTCCTTAATTCACAATTTTCAAATTTATTTCATGTCATGATACACACAGAAACATTAATAGTTTTTGATTCTCTGCGATAAAACAGTATGTTGCAGTAAAAGAAGAAAGCCATGTGAAGCATAGGCAACTGGCAACTGGCACAGGGTTTCACCACTTCTAGGGCTTGGAAAAATACTCTGAGCCATCTAAACCCACTGATGAGCTGGGAAGCTGTCCTAACTAGAAAGTGAAATGAATTAAGAAAGGAGGTTTGGTTACCCATCTTTTCTCAATGCTTATAAACAACTGCTTTATAATTCCGTCAAAGACAAATATGAACTTTATTGGGTCCTACTTTCAGTGCATTTCCTTCCTTTTCAAAACATTTGCTCTCTTGGTTATATTAAAACCCATATTAGCCAAGCACAAGGCAACTTGACACTCCTTCTCCAGAATACTTTTTCTTCCTCTTTTCTGGAATTTCCTTTGACCTTCTCAATCTACAGAATCCTTAATTTATCTCATTCCATCACACTATCTATAAACCTCTACAATAATACTTTCCACATTGTACTATAATTACTTTTTATGTAAATAAAATATCTTACCCTTTGAATGTAAGTTCTGTATAAAAAAGGGACCATGTTGGTTTCCTAAGTTCTATGTGAGAAAAGGACTGTGTTGGTTATCTTCACACATCTGTACCTTAGTGTCCTACACTTACTACTTAATAAATGTACACTTGATTTTAAATACTTGCTTGCTCAACTTTTCCCATTATTCAAGCCTAGTTAAAACATCTCTTCCCTTTCCTGAGCACAAAGGTAGACTTAAGTTACATTCTGTCATCCTCAAACAGTACTTTTCATGATTTTATCATGATACACACATGAACAAACATGCACAAGGATCAGGGCTTTGGATTACAACTTCCAAACTCCTCTCAATCTTCTTTCTGGTAGTCTTCTCACAGCTAATCCCAAACTGTGTGAGCGTGTGTGTCTTTGGTCCACTCATCTAACCACATACCTTATCTACATTTCATCCAACCTTATTGGTTTCCCTTCAGTTCTAGAAAAAGGGACCATGGTCCTACTATTACCCATTCTCCCCTTTAAAACGCTCCCTTCTCAGGGACCACAATAAACATTCCCTTTGACTTCGGTGTACCTCCTGTAGCTTCCTCTCAACATTTTTAAACTTCTATCTAATAACGAAATTTAAGATATCACCCCGCTATTGCACCTTCTTCTCTCCATAAGGCCTTAGCCTCAAGCAATCTTGTTTCTTATTCTACCACTCTACTCAAAATATCTACTGAGATTACTGATTCGAAAGGAAATGTTTTAATCCTCATCATGATGTTGCAATTCTTTGTCTCCAAATTGTCCTTTCTTTCTGAGTCATATACATTTAGTTCTCTCATCTAACAATTTCTTCTTTATCTTCTAAGCATTGGCATGGCACTTAAATGTTGTCATTCCTTAGAATTTGTCACTTTCTCTATTATCTCATTCCCCATGAGCCCTCAGATCCTAGGGTTTTAAATACCGATTTAATATTAATGTATACAAACCTATATTCTGGAACATTTAAACTACTGTTTACTAAATATATCCATATAACTATCTTGTATTTACTCATTTGATCAGTATTTCCTTAAGTGCATGATGTGCTAGACACTGTAGGAAATTCCAGTGAATGAAGACACAGTTCATGGCCAAATAGAAGGTTCCTAGCTAAAACTATAATTTCTCTAAAATTGGTCCAACTTGCTTTTCCTCCTAATAGTTCCCATCTCAACTGAAAGCATTATCAATACACTTATAACTCAAACCAGAAACTTTCAGCTAGCCAATATTTTATTTTCTTTAATCCTTACATTCAATATTTGTCCAAATCACATCTTTTCTATGTCCTGATATTTTTTGACTCTTTCCTTTCCATTCCTATAGTACTAAACTAGTCTTCATCATCTGGGGTTTGAGTTTGCAATAACCCCTTAACTGGCTAACCTGCTTCCAGTCTTTTCCTTTACCAATCAGCTACTAGTACAGTTTCCTATTTATCCTCCTGTTTACAATATTCAAGTTTCCTTATCCTCCAGACTCTTAAGGCCCAGATAATAAAGCATGGAAAATGAAGTCCTTAACAATCTGACCATTACTTCCCTCTCTGGTCAAGTACTGCTTCTCTCTGTTACAGGTCCTTAAACTTTTTCTCAGTAATTAACTACAAGTTCACACAACATATCCTGCTTTTTCATACCCTGTTCTGCATCTTCAACGTACTTCTATTGTTGCACTTATTATAATGTATTTTTATGATGTATTTAGAGGTATGTCTCTCCTATTTCTTAAGAATAAAGTCTATGTCTTATGCATTTTGAACTCTACTACTACTTCACCTAGGGCCTGACAGGTACATGTTAACTGAAGTTGAGACATACGTATATATCATGTTACTTTCTAAGCAGACCATTAGGCCAGGGATTTAGCTCAGTGGTTTTGCCGCCTGCTGCACAAGCATAAGGACCGGAGTTCGATCCTCGGTACCAAAAAAAAAAAAAAACCCTCTAAGCAGACCATTAAGAATCAGGACTTCGTGATTTTTTTCACTAATTTCTTTTTTTTTCTTTGGGGTGCTGGAGATTGAACCCAGGGCCTCTGCATGGCAGGCAAGTGCTCTACCACTGAGCCACACTTTGAGCTCGATATCATGATTTTAATGTGCTGCAAACAGTACTAGTGAGAGGTACTCAATACAGTTTTGTGGAATTGAAGTATTTCCTTGAATCCTTACATTAAAAAAAAAGCTGAGTACTTTGTAAAGCCTTCTAATCTGTACTGTCCTGACACACAAATTACAACAGTACCTCACAAACACCAAGTGACCAAACAAATATATCCTATTTCAAATTAAGCAGTAATTATACATTTTGCTACAGACTCAGAAACACCTGTTGAATGAAGCAATCAGATATTACGATATGTTCTGTACAAAGGGTTTGATTTCGAACTTGACTAACCCAAATTTCATCCAGTCTCAAAATAGTTCTTGCAGAAGAAAGTTTAAATAAAACTTTAACATGCTTTATCATTCACATGATGGAAAGTGATTCATAAGGTATTATTATCTCCCCATTTTATAACCAAGGAAAACAAACACAGGAAATATAATGTCCAATTAAGTGTTCCATATGTATTGTGCACCTCAACTTACCTTCATTGGCAGAATATTTTACTAGTAAGATTCGACTTGAGCTTAAAGCAATGAATACAGCACCCAGTAGGAATGTATACATTGTTGAGGACCACAGACCAGGACGCCTACAGCATTTTTTTTCCATTCCACAGTTTTTTAATTGCCTTAAAAGAAGAGCACTTTCATAAGCAACTCTTGATGGCAGACCTGATGATTAAGCAAAATGTAAATACTATTGACTATACATAACAGAAAAAGAATTTTTTAGATACTTGGCTGTGATTGCATGACCAGTACAGTTCAGGAGTACAGGAGAAACCATGGAAAGAAGATGAAAAAGTCAAACATAGGACAGGGTACTTTTGAGACAGAAAAGATAGGATCAGATCAGAAATGATGACAAAGGTAGCAATTCAGGAACAGACACATGGGGACTGCAGTAAAACAACTGTGCATTCTTATTAGCAAGAAAAGGATTTTGAAATTGTATTTTTCCTCCTCTGTAGCAGTTCTGAGCTTGTCGGGAAAGACTGCATTATGAGGACGAAAATGGAAATATTTGAAACCCTGCTGTTAAATTTTACTGAAATTAAACAAAAGAACTGAATCTTGGGGCTCAATGAGTCTAAAACCCTATTATGACAGAGGACACGAAATCTCACGCAGGGCTTACCCTGCCCCAAACCTCCCAGTATACTCGTAGGAATGACCCAGAGTCCGTGGGAATTGCCAAGAGTTGCTAAATACACAGCCAAGCCAAGCGCCCGTAAACAGAGCACCAGAGAGAGAGACAACGCCCCTTCTAGAAGAGGCCGGGTTTCCCTCCGGGGCAGGGGAAACCCTCTCGGCACACATGCGCAGTAGGCATCTCATCCGTGCGCGCCTACCTCCAAGGCACAAGCAATACTTTCCCGCCAGACAGTTACCACGCTCCTTTGGAAATCTTCTAGTGGAAGAAGGCACATCATAGAGCCGATACTATCTAGCTCCGCAGTATCAGCAGTAGCTTTTTAGGCCCCATTGGCGGGGAAGCTGTGAGAGGGGAAACAAAGGCAAAAACCGCTCTACACTCAGGTCTCCTGTTCCGGAACCAAAAGCAAGGCAAGCTCCCCAGTGAGGAGAGCGTGATCGGCGGCCATTGCGCAGGCGCGTTCAGTGTTATGCTTCCGGGGGGAGGGGCGAAGAGGCCGATCCCGCCCAGCGCGGGCCTTCTGGCGTCACGTGAGGGGAGTCAGGTGTCACGTGAGGCCCAGGTGGAGGCGGAACTACGGCAAGTGAGAGGAGGAAGGGGACCCGGAAGGGGTGCTAGTGAAGCAAGAGGGAAGACAGCTCCCGAGAGGGCGAGGGCTGCGTGTGCACCCGCTAGTTCTCCCAGATCTCCCCTGGGCCCGGCCACCGTCCCTCGCGTCCCGGTGACAGCTGGGCCCGGCCCGCCGTGAGCTGCCTGGGGCGGGACGATCGCGCGGTGCCCCTCCCCCCCGTCCCGTCGCGTCGCGTCGCGTCCCATCTCGAGCCGTTCCTCCGTGTGCCGCCCGGCGGGCACCGCTGCGAATCGTCCCCATCGGGGACGCTTCTTGACACCCGTTCCCTCTCCGCTGCCCTCCCCACAGTATCGCGGGGCCGGCCGCTGCTCCGGCCCCAGGATGCAGAATGTGATTAACACAGTGAAGGGAAAGGCACTGGAAGTGGCTGAGTACCTGACCCCAGTCCTGAAGGTAAGCCGGGCCGGGCTTGCCAGGGGCTGTCGAGTACACACACTTTCTGCTCTGCAAGGACTGAGTGCGAGAGGGACCCCTGTTCCAGGCGAGGAAAGGCGCAGGGAATGGGCAGCCCCCGCCTCTGGTCTTCCTTGGCTGTTCTTTAGGGCTTCTTGCCTCCTCGGACATAGTGAGTTGGATCCCCCCTCAGTGCGTGCCCGTTTCCATCAGTCATTGCTCTCTCCCTGGCTGGGTAGGTTGAGTTGAAAGGTGGTCCACAACTAAGATTTAAGAACGTTAAATCTTAACATCGGAATTTTTAAACGAGCATTTTTTACTTATTTTTAAAAATGAAGTCAATTTTGATAGCAGAATGACATATGTCCCTTTTTTCTTCCAAGTTTTATGGAAAAATCCTCAAGTATCAAATAGGTATACTGTAACTTAGGTCCCAACTAGTTCAGATTTCAAAGGGACCAAGTGAAATTGATGACACTAGCTCAGTAACGTTGAGCCCAGCTAAGTAGCAAAACTTTCTTCTCAAGCTTATAAAATAGCTGTAACTGGTTATTTATCTTGGACTTCAGTGGTAATGAGGAGCAGCTTGACCCTCCTGAGTATATAATTTTTGATATACTGTATTGACATCAGTACAAAAGTTTTAAAGTAGAAGCTGTGGTATAGTAGCTGTTGCAGTAGTGACTCAGTTGTTTATTTTCAGAGATTAATTTCTACAATTGCAAGTGTTTTCTTTCATCACTTTTATAACAAACATTGTAACTTTACTTTTGCTTTCTAAAAAGTGAGCAGTGATAGTAAATGGCAAGTTCTTACTTTGTTTCATTTTGTTGGTTCTTTTATAAGCTTTCAATTAGAATTTTACTGATCTTAGTGTAGGAATGAAATGAAATATTCTGATACACTAAGAGAAATAATGGATAATTTTCTTTGCTCCCTTTCATTGACAAAGAGGAATGTTAGGTCTGTACTTTTTAAATGGGTGCTTATTTCTAAAGTTCGTTTAAAGATAATACTTTGTTGGACCAAGTAAGAAAAAAAAAAAGAACAATTATTCATGACAATCCTCTCTTGCTTTCCTTATGTTTGTTTGCTGTGAAAGTCAATCTATTTAAAAATTATCCAAGTATTTAAAATTTGAAAATAGTTTCAACATTTGCACCATATGCTTTTTTTCTTCTTTTCTTTCTTTTTGGTGTATGTTGCTTTTTCAGAACAGTCCCTGAAGATAGGTCAGGCACTGGCCTCCTACCTGGTCTCCTGGAATCCTCTCGTCATGATTTTAATAATGTATAGCAGTTACAACATTTTAGTTTTGAGGTGAAATAACCAAAAGACCTCTTAAATATACTATTTATAATGAAATTAATATAAATTAAACATACTATAAATTAAATATGGCTATTTAATATGCCAGTTGCATTTTATTAAACGTATGACATAGAATTGTCTTGAGAAATCATTTTAATTTTTCACCAAGCTGAAAAGAAAGTGTTAGCATGTCAGAATGTATTACCTTTATTTTTAGTATAAAGGAAATCAGAATTAATGATCATCTCGTCACTTCTTTGCTGAATCCTTACAGTTTTCCTGCTAGATGAGGGAAGGCAAAGAGAAGAAAAAAAATCCTTAAGAAAGAACTAGGGGTCTTTTTCTAGCAGTAAAAGTTAAGAAAAGTTATGTTTTATTTTGAAGACATACATACAGTAAAAGCCAAAGTCCTCATAATGATCTTCAAGGCTTCTTGATCTGTAGAGGTCCCCCTCTCTTCTGCTACTGTGTTCCCGGAACACTCCTGTGTAAGAGCCAGCCTGGCCACTTTGGGACTCCATCAAGCAGTCTTACATCTGAGTAAGAAGAACATGTGCTCATCTCTTAGCCTGAATATTTTTTCTCCTGTAGAGAGACTTATGGCTTGTTCATTTGCTTAGGTGTTCAAGTCATCTACTATTGAAGTCTTTATTCTCTTATTCTATTTTTATTGGCCATCTCTCCCCCACCACCCAACAGTTTCCCTTTCTGCTTCATTTTTCTTCTTGGTATGGTGCACATTTCTTCAAGTAGAATGTAAGCTTCTTTTGATGGCAAAGATGAGTTTGGTTTATTTTATTTACACCTATATCCCATTGTCTCAAACTGCCTAGTACTTAATAGTAAATATTTGTTGAGATAATAACATTATTCACTAAATGAATCTTTGCAATAGTGTAGACTACCACGAAATTTATAAATTTAGAAAAATTTAGGAACGCATCATTTAGAGCAAAGTATTTTACTATCTTGGTGGAAATAAGAATTATGGGACATATTAAGCAATTTCTACTTTTGGTTTCTAATGTTACTTGATTTAAATTAGACATTGGCTGAATTGTAAGATATTTACATTACTTTTAAGACATTTTTACGCTGCTGTGAAATAAAGATGTATGTTCATTTTACAAAATCACTGTAAGACTTCATGTTTGTTGAAACCTTTGAATGTTTTTTCTTAGAGCTCTTTATTATAGCTCTGATCGAATTGTAATTATTTTCATGTCAGTTTCTTATATTAGACTTGTATGTCATTGTAGTGAAATACCAGTAATACACACATACAATTTATACATTGTTGTATAATTGTCAAGTACCAGTGATAAGTATATACAGTTGCTTAGGAGGGTTCAAGGCAAATAGTTGCCCCCAAAGCATTTTTAGTTTAAAGTAAAAGATGTTGTAATACTGTTACTATTTTCATTTTCTTTAGGAATCAAAATTTAAGGAAACAGGTGTAATCACCCCAGAAGAGGTGAGTGTTGAAGATACCCTGAAGCTTTTATATTTTATGGTGTATTAAACTGGTTGTCTCCACTGCTTTAAGAAAACATCTTGAACTTTCTAACTTGAGTAAAATTTGATTTTGCTGGTTATATACTGATTATAAGTACTTGTACTTCCTGGAGAAGAGAAGATGTAACTTCCTTTTCAGTTTGCCACTTCTCTTATTTCTCTGAAGTTCTTTATTTAGAAATGAAGGTGGCAGAGAGGATGGAAAAGATTGCTATGGTCACTTATACTTTACTCGCATTTTTATTGTATTGAGACATGCAGTGGGCTCTGTAGTATTTGCTGTGTTTTGGATCTGCTACACTAAATGAATTTTTATGATTTTCCATTTGTAAATTTTGTTCATTGCTTGGTTATTAAATTCTCTCTTAATATGATATTCAGTGTACATATTGTATTTGTTAGATTCTTGCCGCAAATTTTTTTTAACTTTTTCAACTGAACAAGTAATGTTGAAATTGGTTAATATTTCATGGGCCAGTTGTATTTTATTGAGTTTTTTTGGGGGGGACAGTATTGGGGATTCAACCCAGTGTGTTCACACTGAGAAATGTCCCCATCTCTTTTTATGCTGTGATAGGCTCTCCCTAAGTTACCCAGGTAGGACTTGAATTTGGGATCCTCTTGCCTCAACCTCTCTCAGTCCTGGAATTACAGGCATGTGCCACCATGCCTTGTGTATTGAACTTCTACAGCAGAATTATTTTTTGAGGAAACATTTCACTTGTTTGCCAAATTTGTATTATGAAAGTGTTCTCCTTCATTGAGGTACTTTATTCCTAGGAAAGTAAATACTATGCTAAAAATCCTTTTGAACTCCAATTTTGCAAATAGTTGTAGTTGGATCAGATTTGTCCTTAACAAAAGGCAAAAAGTTTATTTAAGCTTGATTTTTAACTCACTGAAAACAATATTCATTGGAAGTTGAACTGTATTGTTTTGAAAGAAATGTTTTAAGATCAGCCATTTTGTATAATGAGGCCCAGAATAATTGATCTTTCAATTTTTACTGGATGGAATATTTTTAGTTTTAAGAATACTTTGTTGAGCTGATCTTTTATCTGAAACTATTTTTAATGAAGATCTATGGTAGTAGGAAAAGAACTCAAGAGATTTGCTTTCCTTTTTTTGTTGTTGCTTTTTTTGTTTGTTTGTTTTTTGTTTTTTTGAGACAGGATCTCACCAGGTGGTTCAGGTGAGACTTGAACTCACTATGTATCTCAGGCTGTCCTTGAACTTGTGGCAATCCCTTTGCCTTAGCCTTCCAAGTGCTGGGATTACAGGTGTGTGCCACACCCCTGGCCCTGGAGTTGCTTTCAAGACCCATTTCTCTAATACTTAGGCATATAAGTTAAGCTGTCTAGGAAGAGCCTTATGTGTTTTCATACCTAAGATGAAGGGTTCAGACTAGACATTCTCTGAATGTCCTATTCTGCTTCAGACTTCATGAGTATAATACCTTGAATGCTAAATAAAAGGAAATTTTGATCTTAAGAGTATCATCATTCTAGCTAAATGAAAGTATAATTTAGACATGACTCTATAGTACCGTCTGAAATAAGAGTGTAGATGAAGGTAAGCTTTATCTCCACTGTGTGATGATGACTGATTGTTAGACAGTTGAAGTTAGAGATGCAGCTCTGTGGTTGTTGGCTATAATTAAGCTGTTTTAAAACAGAAATCCTAAAATGAACTATTAAACTGAAGAAAGAAACTATTAAACTGAATTTTCCTTTTAAAAAAATCCAAGGCAAAATTAACACAGCTGGGTACTGAGCATATAATGCTAGGTTGAAGTACAGTACCATTATGAGATTGAATGAGATTAGAATGAGCCTGGAAGAGGAAAATGGGAAGGCAGCATTTGCTCTGGATAAACTATATACTGAGTTGATTTGTTCATTTGTTTTGTTTTACTGTTTCTGAATCAAGCTTTCAAAATTCTGCCTGGGGGCCAGCTATGTTTTTGAGAGGTGTCAAAGACTTTGTGTTTAAAAAGAGGGGCAGCGGTATTTAATATTGCATTGTCTGAAGAAAATACCACTGGATGTGTTTTTTGAGTTGTATTAATAGAGATTAGATTGAGGAATAAAGTTGCTTACCAGATGTAAAGACTGATTCTATCTTATTGGAGGTATTTATTGATAAATCTCAAGAGAGTAAACACCAAGAGAAAGCTCTACTACAAGCAATATTGATGATTTGAAAGCTGACTATGTTACAAGTTATTTGAATATACAAAGCAAATAATAATGGCAGTTGCTAATAAGGGCAAATGCACACGTGTGCTAATTACAGCTGCAATTGTGTTTTTAAAATGATTTTTCTTTTTAGGTTTTTGTTGTTGTTGTTTATTAATAGATACTACCAGACTGACTGCAGGATAAAATTAATCTTGTGACTTCAAGGAAATGTACTGTAATTAAAGAATTTTTAGAGTTGTTTGGTTTGCATTTTGTTATTACTTTTTTTTTTTTTTTTTTTTTTAGTAGGCAACTTCAATTGTCTTATTATTATTATTACTATTATTATTATTACTACTACTACTACAGTACTGGGGATCAAACCAACCAGGCCTTTGCATTGAATTACATTTTTAGGTTTTTTTTGGTTTTTTTTTTAGACAGGGTCTCACTAAGTTGCTAAGTTGCTCACTTGGCACAAATCTTATCTTCTTGCTTCAACTTCCTAAAGTGCTGGGATACAGGCATGTGC